CCAGTTTACCAGCTTCCCCAGCTGCTCGTCAGGCAGACGAAGGGCCACAGTTTGCTCCTCTGTACTTCTTTGTGGAGAAGGTCAGGATTAGGCAGCAGATGTCTCAGAGTGAGAAGGTTGAATGTCTCCAGAAGGGCTGAGTCCCTTCTGCTGCAGCTCTTCCACTTTGCACAAAGATGTGGATAATTAGTCCCCTACACTGAGAACCAGACTGATTAGAGACTTGATTGATTTAACCTCTCCACATTAAATCTAAATGCACTAATCAGATGACTACAGAATCTGCGTTATAAATCTTGGTCCAAATAATATTTAACTGTGTGCAACTCTTTAAAAACACAACGAAATTCAACCACAAGTGACTTGTATAACATGGATGTATAAATTTTGTGAGAACCTCAAGTCTTATCTTGGCTCCCTAAATTAGGTTTTCAACACCCATTTTTTGCCTCACATCCACCTAAGTACCAAAGCTTCAAATACAGAGAACTGATGAAGAAACCTTAGATTGTTCCTCATTCTGCTATGAGGCTACAAGCCCTGAAGAAGCTGGGACACATCTGTAACTCTGGGCATCCTATGCACAAATGTGAGAAAATGCTTTGAAAAAAGTAGCACACTGCTGATTATTTTTTAGTTTGCATTACTGAATGCTATTAAATCTGCTATTAGATTTTTCCCCAAACATTTTCCCAGACTACACTTTCTGCAAGATCTTATCTGCCATTGATCCTTTGAATTATTTCCAGCTCAGGAAGATCTGGCAGTCAGAGAAGGCATCGACGTGGGTTTGCTGCCTGTCTGCACTGCTCTGCCAGGCCACAGTGAGGATGCTACGCTTTTGTCTGTACCCACAGTGCACATCTCTGGTTATTCCCAGAGGGCCTCTGGGCTGCCCATGCTGCACAGCACTCAGGGAATATTTCCATCCTTGGAAATACCTAAAAGCCACCTGGACACAGGCCTAGACAACCTGCTGTAGATGGCCCTGCTTGAACAAGGTGGTTGGACAGAGGTCCCTTCCAACCTCAACCATTTTATGACTGTGTGAACCATGTGGCACAACATCTTCGTATGTTTCTAGCCATGTTTCTAGCAAGGCTGCCCAAAGTGCTTCACCTCTGACTTTTCACCACACACAACCCTGAAGTCTGCACCTTCAGCCCACAGTGAGGACCCTTCCTGACACATTTGCTATTTGCATATACTGCAAAAACAGGGCAGGGGAACACAAGGTCATGCCTGCTGGGAAGTGGACCACGAACTGAGACAAACACAAGGCATAGACAAAACTATGGCAAAGCTGGCAAAGGAGGACTGCCTGGCTGGGCAAGCAAGTGGGTGCAGGCTTTTGCTGTTTCAGGTGTGACTGCTATTCAAAGAAGAATCAGATCAGTTTGAATCGTGTTTTTGAGAAACTCCTACATTTGTCTAACCAGACCATGACCTGGGAACCTGCTGGCTGCTTGCAGGCTGCATGTCACTGCTCCTCCTGTGCAATGTACTTGTATGGATCCTGGGGCTGGAGAAGGGGCACGGGGGTGAGAAACAGCTGAGGACAGAGCAGGGAGGTCTGTGCACTGCAGGGAACTCTTTGCAACCAAATAAAAGCCACTCCTGACAATTTTTTCTCTGCATACATGCCTTTGTTTTCCTGCACATTGGCTGCACACAATACAAGGTGCAGGCTCCAAAACAACCTAGTCCATCTATATAGGTTGGTCATGTAGGGAATGGAGGAGGACCTGCATGAGCATGTACCAGCCATGGCTTTCACCACAGGACGACACAGAGGCTGGAAGGCAGCGGTGGCAGGCAAGACAGAGCTGGCTGACAAGGTTGTTGCCGTTCTGAGAAAAATTCGAACACCATCTTCATCACAAACCCAGAAAAAAATCAATAGGTCAGTGAAATCACTAGAGTGACTATAAATGTGGATGGTGTGGAACTGCCAGTGCCCCAGTGGTGATGAAGAGGACTGCAGAAGGACAGATGACGCACTCTTCATATTTAGTACAGTAAGTGCTTCTGCCTTCAGTAGACGACACCATCAATCAGCACCGAAACGGCCCTGAACGTGGAGGTCATTCACGAGGCAAAGCAGCTGTAACTGAGGCAGGACTTTCTAACCAACACTTAAGCACTGCTGAGCTTGGACTACATTGTCATTCTTGTATTCTGCAAGTGAGACCATAACACTGTGTGCATGCAGAAAACATGAGCAGCACGGGAAGCGAGTATGCACCTCCAGCTCAGGTAGCAATTTGGACTCCAAGTTTATTTTTATGTTTATCAATTTTATAATGTCATCTTGCCACAAATTCCCATGTAGGTTTTCTCAGTGTTGCTGCTCTAGCATGACCCTAATTCCTTTGAAATGGGCTGATATTGTAGTTGTCTGATGTATTTGCTCAGATAACTACACCTCAGCATTCACTCCTACTCTTTTTGTGCCTTAATTTGAACAGAATGGAGTAATTTCTTTGCTGAAGGGTTATCAGGCACTGGAACAAGCTACCTAGGGAAGTGGTTGAGTCACCATCCTTGGAGGTACTTAAAAGACAGGTAGATGTGGTGCTCAGAGATATGGTTTAGTAGTGGAGAGGTACAGTTGGACTTGATGATCTCAAAGGTCTTTTCCAACCAAATGATTCTATGACTCTATAATTTGGCACTTTGATTTGAAGACAGTGGGAGGTGGAAAATCCACTGCTCCCTGTGAACCTCTCTAAAAAAATATAAAATCAGCATTTCTCTTCCATTTCTTAGCTTGCACATTTCCAAACCTGATGGTGGCGAGTTAGTAGGAAATATTATCTTTTAGAAATTTTAAGAATGTCCAGTGGAAGCAGGATGGGAAAAAGAATTGTCTTATATTAAATTTACTAATATGTTTTAACAAAGGGATGTGTGTATACTCTCTTCCTTTAAGCAATCTTTTAATTTAAGACACCTAGGTATGTGGAGAGGTTATGTAAAATGAACCTGTGTGCTACTAGAGTTAAGTGCTTGGTAGCTAAAGCATTTTTCTTCTGTTGAATACTGTAAAGAAGAATCACATCACTCCTTCAGTGTGTCTAGCTGGTACAGCTAGTTTCTCAGCATGTATCCAAATTACAAATATATTTAAGTTTCAGTCCTGAAAATTCCCAGGACATGATGAGTTCAGGAACATTAAGAGACATCAAAGGCACAAAGCAGATAAAACACTATATTACTCTTTTCTGATAATTGCCTTAATTACCCAACAGTGTATAACCACAATATTTTAAGTTTTATGTTAAATGGTGTTTAGTTGCAGACCACAAATTGAATTCTCTCAAGTTTCATCTCAATGGCCTCTACACCGATACTCCTGTCCTTACAGGACATGGCTCTTTGCAGCCCAAAGCAGAAGAACTAGTAAATTCTCAGACTGATTATAAAATGTTCCCTGAATGTTAAAAACCGATTTGTATGATGATTACTGGCTCCACTGATGTTTTCACGATAATGCTCCATAAAATCTTATAGGAATATCATATCCCACCAGGAATATCAATAATATATTTTTCGCTGTGCTGGGAACATTACACTACCTGAACTAATTCATTATGCAGCAAGAGGGAATCAGTGATTTTAGTATGGCCTAATGGAACAGTAATTAATATAAAATCTAATTTTAGAGACCAGAATCACTTTCATATGATACAATGTCTTGCTTGATTTTCAGGTCTAATTATTAAGGAAGTACATAGTCCCTTCTCATACATCACATGTATCCCTCCCTTTAACTTATCTAGTTTCAAAAGGAAGATGTAGCAATTAGCTCATGTTTTGGCTTTTATTTATTTTTTTTTTCATTGCTAACCATCTTATTAAGTAAAGTTGGTGCTAGCTAGAACATTCCTTGGCAACTTTTGATTGTAATTCCTTCTGTCTTCTCTCTCTCCTTGGATGGCATCTCATCTATGACAAAAATGGTAATTAAGACAACAGTGGAAAACAACACTGTCTTCAGACTGTTCAGTAGTTTACTACCAGTAATTGGCTTTTTCCTGCAGGACAGTATCATAATTTTAATTGTGATTTTTCAACTAAGGCATATAATGCAGCTTTTCATAGATACATTAATGAATGCTTGCTGCTCCTTTACAGAGTCCTGTATATTTACTTTATCAGCTTTAGTAACAATTGAGACCTGCAGCACAGGCTGAACTTAAGAAAAAAAGATTTTAACATGGAATATTTTTTCATTCAATGAAAGGTCTGCTTTTTACGCAGACACTCAGGCCACAGTTTTAACAAAACATCGCCAAAACCAAAGGAAGAAAAAATAAACTATGGAACTTACTTATTTCAACTGAAGTGAATGACCTAAAAAAAATTATCTGATATCTGGCAGGTTTTACCACTCTGTTATGCAAAAATCCTCTTTAAATATTTATTATTAAGCCCAGATTTCAAGGTTAAGGTCCCTATATAATAAACTATTACACTTTAAAGGAATGTACAGCTAAGCAACCAGAACATTTATAATGTACACTCAGTGTACAACAGTAGTTTTACACTAAGGTGACCAACTGCGACAAATGGGAGTTACAGCAGCATAAAACTCTAGATTAAGCTGTGATTAATCAGGTATAGGTCTCCATAACAGGTAACTATATTTTTTGCATAAATAGAGGTATGGCTCAAGAAAAGAGGTGAAACCACTGGAGGAAGAAAGTTGAAATTTACCCCCAAAACTATCATGTAGCTCTAAAAATAGCAATCCTTCACCAAGAAAATAAAAGAATACATGCCTCTGTGGCTGCTGCAATGTTTTTCTGTTTGTAACACCACTATGTTAAGCTCAGCCATGAGCCTTTGGATGTAAAGACACAAGAGAGAAAAATGGAGAGGATGCAGAAGCAAAAGGAGGAAAGAATAGGGAAAGGTAGCAATAGAAAAATTAAACTGTATAGCAATTCCACAAACCCACAAAGTTGCCCTGTACATTAATTACTGTTTTCACTTACCAACATCAGGATCAGTGGCTTGGACTCTTGTTAATAAAGCTTTAGTGGCTGTATTCTCATAGACACATGCGGCATAGTGATCAGACGAAAACACTGGTGGATTATCATTAACATCTTCTAAAATAAGATGGATTTCTGATTGGCAAAACCTGCCACCACCATCTGTAGCTCGGGCAACCAAGTTGTACGCAGGGATTTTCTCTCGGTCGAGAGGGGCCAAGGATTTCAGCTCACCTAAAATCAATTAAAAGCAGCAGCCATCATTACTACTGTAGTATCATCTATTTCTAGATAGTCTGAGTATCTCAAACCAATGTATTTCACAGGAATAGGAAAGAGACAAAAAACATCAACGTTGCTTATTCCAGTGACTGGATTAAATACAGCAGTGTCACTTCTCACTCTTCGCGCAACAAAGTGAGCCACTAGTATGAATGCAGGGAGGACAAGCCACTCATGGTGGCCTTCAGTAGCCTACAGTCTCACTCATGTGAACACCACCGTGTTTTTCCAAGTCTGCATCTTGCTACTCTCAAGATTTATAGGCTACTAGACATAGAAACAGATTCTGAATCTGATGACAGCAGCCATAATAAATTGTAAAGTTTTCTAATGATACAGTTAAAAAATAACACCAACATCCTCCTCTCTTCTCCACACAAAGAAATCTTCAACCAGCTCTGAATTCCCATATATAGGTCTGTTATCTAGTTTGAGAGAGGCTTCTTATTCTTATCCAGAGACAGGTTTCATAATAATCACTAACAGCAACAAAAAGCCAGCTTATTCAGACTATGAGAGCTTTACCCATGATCCATTTTCCACTGCAAAGATAAACAACTGCCAAACACTTGCATATCAGCAAACAGCCAGTACTAATTGGAAGATGAGATTTGGGTTAATTTTGTTAAGGGTGAAATATGCAGTTAAATACAAAATTCATTCTTGAAAAGGGCAATACTTCCCCTTCCACAGGCTGCACAGATGTCCAAATGCCTCCTCTTCCATCAGTAATTCTATGGCAATAGCAGGCACTGCCTTCTGCTAGTAAGAGGAAGAGGCATTGCACAGGGAAGGACTTAGTCTATCATTATGGAAAACAAATTTCTAAGAATAACAAAGTGGTGGGATTTTTTATTCATGGGAAAATGATTTTATTTAGCTTTACTTAATAACGACCATAAAATCTAGATCTTAGCAGAGATCAGTATCTTCTTCCGGACCAACTGCCAAATGTACAAGACCTTTGTAGCACTTCACTGTGCCCATAAATTCATTACTGATAACCTTTCTCACCCAAATCTGTGTATAAAAGGAATGTCTTTTTTTACAGGGTCTAAATGCCAATATATCTAGACTAAGGTGGAAGAAGTGAAGTCCGAAGGTGAAGGAAGATGTGATAGTTTCACCAGGACAGAGGATCATGCTGGCAGCTTCCCCTCTACCGCACTGAAAAAAAACTCCAGAAGTGCCCCATAGATCTCTGACCTAGTTTGAGGTCTGGCAGGGAAACAAAAGGGTCAGTATCCACTGTTCTGATTATAACATTCAACTTGGTCAATGTCTCTCTTTCTCCCTCCTCCTCCCACAACTTCAGAAGTGGTCATCCATGCCTGCCATAACTGGAACAACTGGATGATAACCAAGTGTAACCTAATTCTAGTTACAGAAACTGGCACCCAATGATGTCAAGGGATTAAGAAGCTATTTGGAAACATTCAGTTGCCATCTTACCATTTTCTGGATCTAAGAAAAATTTATTGTTCCCGGCACCATAGAGAGAGTAGCGAATTTCACCATTGGACCCAATGTCCGCATCTTTAGCATTGATTTTGAGAATGACTTTGTTTGATGGAATGTCTTCAGGAAACAGTGCTGTGTATGCAACCTATAAACACAAACAGAAATGTAAACTATGCTGTAATGGTATTTAATAATCTTTGCACAACCTTGTTTTTAAACTCTGTAGTGCATTTTTTTCTGTATAGGAAACAATTTTCCTTTACATAACACATTCTCAGAAATTCAAATTATTGCTAAGCTTTGAGGTGTCACAAAAACAATGCCAAACTATGACTCTTAATAGAGCTTGTCTTAGGTGTTAAATGCAGCCTCATTTTCTATCTTCCTTTTGTTTCATCAACACCCATGAAATGAAAAGTTTGAGGAGTGTGCTAATGAAGACAACAGTTTTTATTGCCCCATCCAGCAGGGTTTGAGGGAGATGGATACAGACTCTCGTTCCTCAGAGTGGTTCTTGCAATGACCATGGTCCATCAGTGACAACGTAATGATAAGAACTGCACAAGTATATACATACAGACATTTTATATATAAATATATATGTGTAAGATTCTGTGAGCAGTACCATTAAGGAAATCTGGGTTTCATAGTGTCTCCTCTTTCACGCAAATCTCAATTTTTTCTAAAGCAAACTAAGACCACTATGGCAAAGACTCCTCTGCTACCTTTACTAGACCGTTATCCTTTCATCTAGGCTTCACAGGACTGTTTCATCCTGCTTCTCTCCCAGATCACTCCAGATTCTTCAACTAAGACCTTAAAGCTGAAAATGGGCATCACCTGTGAATACCTTTATATAGGAGGGACACCCATAGGGAAACCATTGCTTTCAACACAACAGTTGATTGCCACGGGTGTTGCTAACTCACCTGTTCACAGATTGGATTATTATCATTAACGTCAGTGACAGTGACTTCCACAGCAGCTTGGGTTACAAAGAGACCATCCGTGGCGGTGATGTTCAGATAATAAATGTCTTGTTCTTCCCGATCTAGAGGCCTTTTAACATAAACCTTCCACTCATTCTGAACCAGTCCCAGAGCAAACTTCCCTTTGGGGTTTCCTCCTGCAACAAGACAAGTAAAACACAACAGGCTGGGGCATCCCTTCAGAGCTCCCACCTAGTTTAAACATACAGATACATTACAGAAGACCTGGACTAAGCTGTCATCATTTGTTTTACAGTGATCAGTGCTTTCAGACTCGCAGACTCAGGAAATCTGTAATGAGATTATGCTCCCCGTGTTTATTGCCCCCTGAACGCCTTGTATGAAAGTGAGCCAATAACTTTCGGTGGAAACAAAATCCATTTAGCAGAGCTGAAGATGATCTCTTGTTTAGTTCCCCGTAAGGGCAATCAGATTCAAACTGTGAACAATCAATAGTCCTCTTAGGCTGGTACAATTGTCTTTCCACTTAGTCTCGGGAGAGGATGTAATACACCGTAGCTCTTGTTACCAAGACAATTTCATTAGCTGTTGATTATGCAATCAAGGACTGGAAGTGGGTTCTATTAATGAATCCTCTAATGAAAGCTTTATCATACAGCTGCGCCGTTCTTCTGCTTATTAAAATTCTAGTTTTAAAAAAAAGTTTACATGACACAGGAAGACACATTAGTATTAAATAGTCCTAACAAGAGGTCATTTGAGGAGCAGTTGGAAGATAAGCAGCACAATTAGATCAAATGTATCCGAGAGAGAAAGCTGGTGAAAGGAGTGCAGGAGACAGAGCAGAACAGCTTACACTGACACTGAACCTGGCAATGTTTGTCTTCCACATCATTAAATTGTCTAATGAAAAAAGCAGGTTGGGAGAGCAAAAGTTTTGGTCCACATCATCCTCAAGGAGGAAGTAAGGACATGTCACATGTAGAAAGGTACAATAATCAAGGCAGGCACAGTTGTTGTTAATGTTTCCAACATTTATTTACTCTTACATCTGAAATGGTACAGTCCCTTGCCAGCTCCATGAAGAAAACACTTTCAATCACTTTTCTCTGAGCCTGACCTCAATGCCTTGTCAGACCAGACAGTAAAATCTTCTAAACCAATGTTGTGGCTTAACTCAAGTGGGCAGCAAAGCCACACACAGCTGCTCGCTCATTCTCCCACAGTAGGATGAGGGACAGAATTGGAAGGGTAAAAGTGCAAAAACTGATGGGTTGAGATGAAGTCACTTTAATAGGGAAAGCAAAAGCTGTGTGCACAAGCAAAGAAAAAAAAAAAAAGGAATTCATGGCAAGTGTTCAGTCATTTCCAGGGAAATGGTGCTTTATCACACATAATGGTTACTTGGGAAGACAAATTTCATCACTCTTAACTTCCTCTTTCTTCCCCCAGCTTCATGTGCTGAGCATGACATCATATGGTACGGGATATCCCTCTGGTCAGTTGGGGTCAGCTGTCCCAGTTGTGTCCCCTCCCAGCTCCTTGTGCACCCCCAGCCTACTCACTGGTGGGGGTGAGGTGAGAAGCAGAACAGGCCTTAACTCTGTGTAAGCCCTGCTCAGCAATAATGAAAACATTCTAAATTATGAACACTGCCACAAATTTGGTCACAAATTCAAAACACAGCCCCATACCAGCTGCTATGAAGAAAATTAACTCTACCCCAGACAAAACGAGTAAAGCCAGTCTCCTGTGCCCAGCATCTAACATAACCTTGGTCTGTGAAAACATATCTGCATGTTTAACAATTTAGGATAGAGCACTACAATCATAGCAAACTCATGTGCTATAGTAACTGAGTGAGAACATAGAAAAAAGCATCACGGTGCTCCACTGGGTGAATTTTAATTCCAGCTAACCTGCTACTAGCTCTTTCCCCACCATATTAAGCTTTCTCCCATGCTCTTCCATGCAGAAATGCAATCTGAGAAGTACTTTGTAGGTTTCTCATGTATAAAAGTGGTATAAAAATATTAAGGGAATGCTTATTCTTTCTTGTTACAGGATCAAGAATGTCAAGCATGCTAGTGCAATTTTGCTTACAACTTATTCAGGGTCCTGACACATGTCATGGGATCTGTCCAAGCTCAATGGAAAGACCAGGTTCTTAAACCTTCCTCTCTAGTACTTGTGTTGGATGTTTGAGTAAATAAGTATTAAAAAAAAAATAAATCCAAGGCTGAATTTATTTCAGCTGCCTCTGCTGTCAAAGGATTAGGTGTCACCGTTGTTTCTGGTATGACAATTGCATCAGTTCCCAAGGACCCTCTTAGCAAAAAAAAAACCCAAAAAACCAACCACAAACAAACAAGGCAGAGAAGATCTGAACTTGAAACTGAGCTTAAAACCAAGCAAAAAGGTCTATTGCACATTTGATACCTTCTTTCTACATCAAAAAGTAGAAAAGAGGTCATAGGCTGTAATATATGCCTTCTTCATTAGCTACCAATGACAAGATAGACTGTTTTCTCTTTAATATGAAAACTAAGTCAATTGAGACAGACTGAGTGAATCTTTCTTCTTAAGCATCACCATTTGTGCAAGCTGTAACTGTGTCAAAAAAGCATGTTGTAATGAATAAGTTTTCCAGAAAAATAGTCAGATAGGTATTATAATCATAAAAGGCCCTCTAATCACACAGAGCACAAAACTGATAGATCAAACATTGAAATCTTCTGTTCACAAAACCAAGTGGATCCTGATTTTCCCACTTATTTCTACGACAGTCTGGAATAATCATCAAATGATTCAGTTAAACCTTGTTTAATCTGTTGTGTGATATAAATACACATTTCTCCTAGAGAGAGTTACACTGTATGTCCATGTGCATTACAGGCTAGATCTGAATACAGTCCAAGGCAATGAGTCTGTCCTTTGACTTGAGTCTTACTGTGACTTCAAAGAAGGTAGATCCCTGCTGACTGACTTTAAATTCTCCCTATTCAGTTCAACACCAGCATAAAAAAGCTTAACTCTCTTTTATAAAAGGCTGTAATCTTGTCATAGTGAGTTTACTGTTGTAAACCATTAATAAAAATGGTCTTAAATATTCGTATTTAGCTTTGTGATAGCAATCAATGCATATTAATCCTTTTGTAAAAGGAAATTATTAACTGTCCTGACCAACTATGAAGCAATACACTCAAGGTATAGGTATCCCATTGCTAAGAAAAGAGGAAAGGTAAAATATAATTAAAATCAGCTGGTGGCTTTTATGCCTGGCAGTAACACTAGCTTGGAGCAATTTAAAAATCACTGTTACGTTGTTGCTGATGGAATGGCTTTTAAATCACATATAGGAAGTTGGGGAGTATGTATTAAAAAAAGAGTTCTTGGGATTGCTATCCTCGCACCTTTATCTCCACTAGAAAAGAATCAATTTGAATGACTAAGAAACCTGTGCAATAAGCAGCAAGTGTGTAGCAGTTTATCTGCATGTCTTTCATTAGTGCTACCTTTCATTTTTTTTTTGCTTCTCAGGACAGGCTATATGCTTTGTTGATAGAAGACAAAGATGGAAGTTGTACTATAAAGCGTAACAGAAATAATGAGATGTAAAACCATCAAGGAAATATTCTTAAAAAAAGGAAAGGCAAAAAAATCCACACTGTGGCCCAGGGAACCATTTTCTAGTACTTATACATATGTCTTGACACAGATCTCATTCTGCAGTGATTAATTAACTTTTTCACTAATATATGTAAGCAGATTCAGTTTCCTAGGGGCGTTCTAATTAATTAGGTTTTCGCTCTGAATAATGTAGCTTTTCTAAACGGAAGCCTCCTGACTACATGTATTAATGGTTCTTTAAAATCATTTGGCATTTTTCTTATGTTCTACTTTGAATGTCACAACAGTGAAGTGCTAGCTACAAAAAACACTCCAGTAACTTTTTAGAAAGGCTTTGAGGCTAAAAGAATCAGCATTATCTTTTATCTTTTTGTTACTTGAAGTTTAAATAAAGCTATCCCTCTCTCCCTAGTCAGCAAATAGTACAAAGCCAAATCAAGCTCAAGTTTAAGTAAAGAAAGAAAACAGCCAGATACAAATGAAACACAGAGACACAGTGATCCAAAATAAACAAATCCTGACACACATCATTACTAAAGCACACACAGAGGGAATTATAACGGATAAAAGGGAACTGAAAACTAGAAGCCAACAGTATCAGTTTTCACTGCAATGTCCCTATCTGGGAGGGGGAACGGAATATTTACTAACTTATTTATTTAGTTTCTCTCTTACATTCATGCATTTATTTAGATACTTTCAATTCCCAATTATAACTCAAGGTATTTGCATTACATAAAATCAATAGGTTTATCCTCCACTCCCAGTTTAAGATACTGCATGTTTACTGAGCTGCTGAAATGATAAACCCAATCCTCTCGGCTTTGCTATCGTAAAATTGCAGACACTGTTCTTCAGCCTGAAGCACAAGTTCCCCTCAAACACAGAAGCATTCATTTCTCCAAAATGCCAGGATCTCAAATATAAAATAAAACCCAAAAAAACCATTACTTTGCTCATACTGGCCAATCAACCCAGCAAAAAACCTACTGTGTACAATACCAGTTCTTTCTTTCAAAACACACTGTCCATCTTGTATTCAGCCGAACCAAGCTTAAAGACTATTGTCTGTCCTTGCATTTACATGACTGATGGAGCCTAATTAACACCACTGAGGAAAACAAGACACTTCACTGTACCAAAGTCTTAGCAACTGACATTTTTCTGGTGGCTTTTCCTCCTTTACCACTGTTAAATCTCAGCGGTATCTGTCTGGGTCTAGGCTGGCTAAACATCCTAGCTAAACATCAGCAGAGCCCTGGTTTTAGCCCAACTGCCTCAAATTATATAGGCAATGACCTCAAATGTGCCTTCAAAACAAAACTACTCTGCTCTTTAAGTGCATTTGTGTCATCTGCACTTCCTATTGATTTTCTATTAAGATTTATATGTAGTACTTTTCCTTTATGAATATTTCCAGCTGCTCTCAAACAACAAATAACAAAGGGTTAAGGGCAAAACTTTTTCCTCCACCATCAAATGCAGATGAAGGTGGATTTGAAAATGGCAACTACTTGCCAGTGATCAGGGAAACCAATCCTAAACTGAAGGACTTCAAAACAGAATAGGTATTCACCCATCAGAATGCATCTACCTCTTTTCAGAGTTGACCAGAAGAATACCGCAAGCTTTTGTATTTCTCAAGAGTGCAAAGGACTCTTCAGTGATCACATCTGACCTAGAATGTTTGTTTCTTTCATCTCCTGAATAATTTCTTTCCACCTATCTCCTGTGTGCTACTTTTCTCCAGATGCATTTGCAGAAAGCTAGTTTTGGTGGATCCACATGTCATTCTCCTAATTTTTATTTGCCCTTTTTGACAGTGTCCTGTTCTTCCTCAGAGTTTGTTTATTTTATTCACATAAGTTTTTCTGGCTCAAAATGCCTCCAAAAAGCCACAGCATTTGAATAATCATCTAGCTAATCTGATTCCATGAAATATTCAAGTGCAGTTCCTGAGCTCAACTTGGGATAAAGTGTGAACAGACTGTTTTGTTTGTTAAACTATATATGTTTTGACATTTTAATAAAAAAACCCTAATTTCTCCATGTACATTTCCAAAATTCAAAGGACATATTCAATGATAAGGATATCTCTGAACTCATACACTTTAGTAATTTTACAGCAGGTATTAGAGAAAGTTTTGGGTTTTGACATCTAATGTTTTCAGAAACTAAAACACCAGAAAAATATCTGACGCATTTTGAACTGTGATAGAAATTAAGATACAGAATAGTCTATAATTTCTGAGTCACATGTGACAGTTATTATTCAAAAGTTTGGTTTTTGCTAAATTAACAGCACAGGGACGTGCAGAAAACATTATCTAACTAAAAGCATAACTAAAAGCATAACTCATTATACGAGATGACTGAAAGACTTCAGAACAAAGAGAAAAAGAGTACCTTCAGCTAATGATCACAGTACACTAACGTATCTTTGTTACAAACATGAAATGTTTGCATTTCCTATGGCACTTTCTGAGATCCCCAAGCTCCTTCAAATATCACAAAATATCTAAGAAAATGGACTAATTTACTTTTTGATTTGTGAAAACTAAGGCACTGGCAGCTAATGCATCTTGCCCAAAGCCTCCGAATCCCATGCTTTACCTACAAGACTATTTTTGCCTCTACTAATGGCCCACAACACGTCACCACACTATAAACACACAGTCTTTGCAAACCTTCATACTGAATCCAGTCTTTCAGGTAAAGTGCCAGAATGAATTTTTGGCTTCTTTGAAAATGATGCTACTTCTGACGTGCAACACAGACAACCTACAGC